AATGCATAACAAAATAAACACAGCAGAAGCATGCGCTATAAGCATAGCATAAGGCGGTTGGACCAAAAGAATCTTATATAAATCAATATGGCGACTTTATCCTGGCTGCTTGTTGATTCAGTGGACTCATGCTATGTTAATGTTTTGTTATGCATTTTATGTACTCCGGCCTTAGGATTCTCATTGGTTCAGCCGCTTTATGCTTTGTTATGCATTTTATGAACCTTGGGCCCAAAGCCGGGAGTACATGAAATGCATAATGCAGTATAAGCGTAGCATGAGACAGCTAGACCAATGAGAATCTTATGTAAATCAATATGGCGACTTTATGCTGGCTACTTATTGGTCCAGTCGCCTTATGCTGTGCTTATGCTTTGTTATGTATTTCATAGGCCTAAGGCCGGGAGCACATGAGATGTATAATGAGGTATAAGCATAGCATAAGGCGGCTAGACTAATAAAAATCTTATGTAAATCAATATGGCAACTTTATGCTGGCTGCTTATTGGTCTAGCCGCCTTATGCTATGTTTATACTTCGTTATGCATTTCATGTGCTCCAAGAGCACATGAAATGCATAACAAAGCAAAAGTGCAATATAAAACCGCTGGACCAATGAGCGGCCAACATAAAGTTGCCATACTGATTTATAAAAAATTCTCATTGGTCTAACCGCCTTATGCTGTGCTTGTGCCTTGTTATTGCATTTTATGTGCTCCCGACATAAGCCGTAAGGCCGGTCGCATGTGAAATAATGCATAACAAAATACAAGTACAGCATAAGACAGTGGGACCAAAAAGAATCTTATATAAATCAATATGGCGACTTTATGCTAGCTGATTGTTGGTCTAGTGGACTCATGCTATACTAATGTTTTGTTAGTACTTAATGTGCCCTGGCCCTAAAATTCCCATTTCTTAGCCGTCCTATGCTGTGCTTATGCTTTTTCTTGTATATCATAAGCTCCGACCTAAGGGCAAGTGTACATGAAATGCATAACAAAGCAAAAGTGCAATAAAAAACCACTGAACGAATGAGCATCCAGCATAAAATTTCAATAGATTTACATAAAGCCGATTCTACATTAGTTGCAAGCCGATCGCAAGCTTGTTACGACAGCCAATCTAAAGCTTGCATTTTGAAATCAATGCTTTAGATTGGCTGTCGCAACAAGCTTGCGATCGGCTTGCAACTAATGTAGAACCGACTTAAGATTCACAGTGTCGCTGCCTTATGCTGTGTTTATGCTTTGTTATTGCATTTTATGTACTCCCGACATAAGCCATAAAACCGGGCACACATGAAGTAATGCATAACAAAACATCAGTACACCAAAAGATGGCTTGTTTAAAAAGAATCTTATACAAATCAATATAGCGATTTTATACTGGTTGCTCATTGGTCCAGCGGTCTTAGGTTTATGCTAAATTATGTATTTTATGTGCTTTCGGCTGTATGGATATAAGTCTTTAAATTTACACTGAAAGAATATATTAATTTAGATAAATGTTTATAATCATTTTTAATAATTATTAGTATTATATAGTTCTAAGAATAATGCGTTTATTATAGTTGCTATTAAAGTATATTCAAATAATGCTTTCCTTACATTTTATAATATAAAAATATTCGTAGGAATTTTTCGCCGCTACATATATTATTTATATAACATTATCCAATAATGTGTAAAGTTTGGAATAATGCTAAACAAAAAATAAATTTTTATTTAATATTTTCTTTGAACATTTTGTACTATGTTAATCACAATTTTATAATCTTTAACAAATAAAATAAAAATTACATTTGAAATCATTTAAACTACCTTACTAAAAGCTAAATACTTTGTACTTTAAACCTTTATATTTAAATATATAGAAATGCTCGGTTTTTAAATTCTGAATGAGTTCAGTAATAAGTTTTCATGGAACGTCCCGTTTCACGCCTCAATGACAATCAGGTGCTCAAATGGCACCTGATTGACGTTACGATTGATCACAGCCATTCACAATGGCCGATGCCTAGAGATTTCCATTATTCAAGCACTGTGAGTGGCTAGTGGTCAATCGCAACGTCAATCAGATGCCACCCAGTTTTCATATTATACTTTGGTA